CTGGATAGGTTATGATTATATAAATTGAGGATGACAAATACCTCCTCTATTTAGGTACTGACCTGCAAATCCCCGGCTCCTTCCTTGAGGTGGAAGTGGCATGGAGCCCATAGCTCGGGAATAAAGTGAAACGGGGTAGAGAGAGGGCACTATGGGAGGCACAAAAGTAGGTGACGGAAGTAGAGCAGAAGGCGGTGGATGATTCATGTTGACTCCTTCAAGGATGCTCTGTCTCATCTTCTCCACTTTGGTTGCCAGGTCAGCCTTCAAATGAGGAACAGGGTAATAATAGCAGCTGCCATTTTTCGAACTTGTCCCATGTTTGAGGCCCAGTATGGACCACTCTAGGTACAGTCTCACAATTCTATTCCCGCTAAGTGAACTGAGGCCTGTCATTAAAGGGCTCAAAGCTACACACTCAGGAAGCCTGTCTGGCACCAAAGTCCCCACTCTTTACATGACATCACGCTACCATCATATGAGTTCTGAATCAGGGCTTGTGCTGTACATTGACTAGATCAAGGAAGACAAATTTAACAATAAGGATTACTGATGGCCTATTACATAGCTGGCATTGGGCTAGGTCACTTTTTAAGGAGGACGTAACAGAATTAGATAAAAGAGAAATAAAACACTGACAAATAAAAAGACTTTTGCTGGGCGCAGTGGCTCACGCTTGTAATCCCAGCACTTTGAGAGGCCAAGGTGGGTGGATCACGAGGTCAGGAGATTGAGACCATCCTGGCTAACACAGTGAAACCCCGTCTCTACTGAAAATACAAAAAATTAGCCGGCGTGGTGGCGTACGCCTATAGTCCCGGCTACTCGGTAGGCTGAGGCAGGAGAATCGCTTGAACCTAGGAGGCGGAAGTTTGCAGTGAGCTGAGATCGTGCCACTGCACCCCAGCCTGGGTGACAAAGCGAGACACCGTCTCAAAAGAAAAAAAATAAGTAAATAAATAAAAAACAAAAAGCCTTTTAACTTTCTCCCCCATATCCAGAATTGGAGATCCTGATACCTCTAGTCCAGAGGTCTACAAACTTCTTCTGTAAAGGGTCAGATAGTAAATATTTTAAGCTTTGTAGGCCATATTGTCTCCGTCACAATTATTCCACTCTGCTATTATACCATGAAAGCAGTCATAGGCCAGGTGTGGTGGCTCACGCCTGTAATCCCAACACTGGGAGGCCGAGGGAGGTGGATCACCTGAGGTCAGGAGTTCTAGACCAGCCTGACCAATGTGCTAAAACCCCGTCTCTACTGAAAATATTAAAAAATTAGCCAGGCGTGGTGGCACGCGCCTATAGTCCCAGCTACTCAGGAGGCTGAGAGGGGAGAATCGCTTGAACCTGGGAGGCAGAGGTTTCAGTGAGGCCGACATTGTGCCACAGCATTCCAGCCTGGACAACAGAGTGAGACTCTCTTAAAAAAAGAAAAAGAAAAGAAAAGAAAAATGAAAGCCATCGTAGATGGTATGTAGATTAATGAATGTGGCTGTGTTCCAATAAAATCTTTTTTAAAAAATGGGGTGGTCTACATAACAAAAAACAGATGTTTTGTAGCACTATGGATAGTTCATTGGACTTCTAGTTATGAAAAACAGGAGGTGTGCTGGGTGGTCTGCCAATCCCTGCTCTAGTCCCTCAGCTCTTTCCCCACCAAAGCGGATAAAGGAGTTCAGTAAGGTTTCCTTTCCCTTGCCTCCCCTCACCCTTCCCAATGTTTCGTTTTTAAAAATCCTCTGCTTCTACTCTGTCGTCAGCTTAACTACCCTCTTCTGTTCCCAAACACAGTTCCTTCACAAAAAAATCATCACTTGCAAAAGAGACAAAGTTTTTGTAAATAAGAGAAATGAAATTCTAAAAGTTGGAGGGAAGGTATATATAGTGTATCTGAACATTCCATGGAAAAGAAATACTCAGAGGAAGAAAAGGGATATGAAAACTTTAAGTTCTTTAAAAAATACTTTCCAACATAAAATTTTACGTGTAAGTATCAGACTACGGGCTTTTGGGACCACTGTTGACTAAGTCAGGTTAAAGTGAGACACATTCTCCTGCTTCTGTCCTATTCCTCTCCAGTGTCTCTGTTCTTTTCCCCTCCCTGCTCATTCATCCCCACAGGAGATGAGAGCTAGTCCTTAGCAGCCCGACATGCTGGTACCTGGCCATCACAGAGCTCTATCAGAGATACTCGATCTCGGCCTGCTTTAATTAGCTTGCTCTGGAACAGCTTGCCATCGAAGTAAATCCAGGGGCAGCAATGCTCCCAAGGGACTGGCTGGCCACAGGCATCATTAGCAAACAGAGCTGTGTCGACTCCACTCATGAAGAGGGCAGCAAGCTGGATCCCTCGGGCATCCAGTTTCTCAATCTGAAACCACCACAGATGAAATATTACTATTAAGAAACCACTGTTCTTGGTAACATTTACTCTTATTCCTGTCATGCTGATTCTTCCAGTTAAATGTGAACATGTTGTCATTCACTGTAGACATCTCAGTGCATAAGCAGCTTCTACCCATGTCTTTCCCTGAGATGATTTGAAAGGTACTCATTACAACATTAAAGATACCAACCTGAGACAGTTTTTTCACCTGTAAAATTAGAAAAATAATTAGAAAGTAAAGGCTGAAAGTACACTTAATGCTACTCTGCTGCTGATGCAGTGAGATAAATGGGCATTCACATAAAGCTGGTAAGAAATGTATATTACAAGGTCAGGCACGGTGGCTCACGCCTGTAATCCCAGCACTTCAGGGGACCAAGGCAGGCAGATCACCTGAGGCCAGGCGTTCGAGACCAGTCTGACCAACATGGTGAAACCCCATCTCTACTAAATACAAAAAGTAGCCAGGTGTGGTGGCGGGCGTCTGTAGTTCCAGCTATTCAGGCGGATTAGGTGGGAGCATTGCTTGAACCTGGGAGATGGAGGTTGCAGTGAGCCGAGATTGCGCCACTGCACTCCAGCCTGGGCAACAGAGCAAGACTCCACTTAAAAAAAAAAAAAAGTATACTACAATTAAGCAATATGCGTGAAGAACCGTGAAAATGTTCACATTTGTTGACTCAGAAGTTCACCTTGCAGATACCAGCACCATGTTTCTTGTATAGCCTGAAGAACCATGAACCAAAGAAAATTATTTTCTTGGCCAGGTGCAGTGGCTCATGCCTATAATCCCAGTATTTTAGGAGGCTGAGGTGGGCGGATCGCTTGAGACCAGGAGTTTGAGACCAGCCTGGCCAACATGGCAAAAACCCGTTTCTACTAAAAATACAAAATACAAAATTTCGAATAAAAATACAAAAATTAGGTGGGCATGGTGGCACGTGCCTGTAATCCCAGCTACGCAAGAGGCTGAGGCAGGAGAATCGCTTGAACCTGGGAGGCGGAGGTTGCAGTGAGGTGAGACTATGCCACTGCACTCCAGCCTGGGTGACAGAGTGAGACTCTGTCTCAAAAAACAAAAAACCTCTTTTCTTTATCAATTACCCAGCTTTAGACAGTCCTTTATAGCAACTCTAAATGGACTAAGACAACACATAATAGAGGGAAACTGAAAAAAACCTAAGTCACCAATATGAGAAGAATTAAATGATACATCCATATAAAATATTATTTATTAACATTTTTAAGACAGAAAATATGTGCTACGTGAAATGGAAAGAACTCACAACATATAAACATAAATACTACCTCAACTATGTAAAAAGTGCCCGACAGCAGATTGGGAAAAACCTCAATTCCCACAGTGGTTATGTCAAGTCAGTGTGTTAGAAGACAGCTTCAACAGGAAAAGGGAAAGTGTTTGCAGGTCCCGTCCTAGGTGTGGTTTAGCATGAGCAGTTGCTCTAGGACAAGCAATATAACATTTACTGCAAAGAGCAACCACTTACTGGTTGTCTGAGTCTGTCTCATCTTAGCTGACCTCACTTAAAATTTTCAAGTCTTACTGAACTTCATCTTCTAGTTTACCTTGGGGCCTCAAAGGAACAAGGTTACTAAGGTCAAGAGAGGGATGTTTTGCATTAATGGCTACATTTTCTTGAGTATTATGTACTTAAAATATATGAGACACTGGCCGGGTGCGGTGGCTCATGCCTGTAATCCCAGCACTTTGCGAGGCCAAGGCGGACAGATCACCTGAGGTCGGGAGTTCAAGACCAGCCTGACCAACATGGAGAAACACCGTCTCTACTAAAAATACAAAATAAACCAGACATGGTGGTGCATGCCTGTAACCTCAGCTACTTGAGAGGCTCTGAGGCAGGAGAACTGCTTGAACCTTGAAGGTGGAGGTTGCAGCGAGCCGAGATTACGCCATTGCACTTTAGCCTGGGCAATAAGAGCAAAACTCCATCTGAAAAAAAACAAAAAACAAAAAACAAAAAAGCGAGACATCTCAAGGACCTAGAAATAGAAATTCCATTTGACCCAGCAATCCCATTACTGGGTATATACCCAAAGGATTATACATCATTCTATTATAAAGACACATGCACATGTATGTTCACAGCGGCACTGTTTACAATAGCAAAGACCTGGAACCAACACAAATGTCCATCGACGATAGACTGGATAGGGAAAATGTGGCACATATACACCATGGAATACTATGCAGCCATAAAAAAAGATGAGTTCAGCCGGGCGCGGTGGCTCACGCCTGTAATCCCAGCACTTTGGGAGGCCGAGGCGGGTGGATCACGAGGTCAAGAGATCGAGACCATCCTGGTCAACACAGTGAAACCCCGTCTCTAC